CGACTTGTTGCAGTGTGCGGCGTATGGTTTGAGCACTGACAAGCTGACCTCCCGCTTCTGCAACCTTTAAAGCAATGCTGGCAGCACTCATGTGTCTGTTTTTTGAAGCCAGCTTCTGTACCTGACGCACACAGCACGAGGACTCAACTTCTTTGATTGACCCTTGCGAGGCCTGTTCCGAGGGGAACTTGTCTTAGAAAACATCTGTATGACCCTGGCCACTGTACTGCAACTCAGTTTAAGGGTGTTACAGATCTTTTTATAGCCTAGGCCATCTTTGTGGAGAGCAACAATCCAGTGGTCAGTATGAGAGAATTGTGCTCAAAGCACCAAATTTTAACTGCTCTGATACAATATACACAAATTTGTATGGTCCTGTCAAGCAGACAAAAACATGAACATGAATAGGACATGTGGTTTTGCATGGTTAAACTACATACATTCTCTTAGGGTGTACTCACTTTTGTTGCCAGTTATTTAGACAACAATGGCTGTATGTTGAGTTATTTTCAGAGGACAGTAACTCTGTACTGCTATACAAGCTGCACATTGACTAGTCTAAAATATATCCAAGTTTCATTTCTATAGTATTGTCCCTTGAGAGGATATACTAAAATGGTTGCTGAAAAGTGAGGGGTGTACTCACTTTTGTGAGATACTGTAAATACATGTAAACATTTTCAAAATATATATTGCATGTGTGTGTGTATTTATATATACATAATAAATATACACAGAACACACATATATATATATATTATGCAAACAAAAACTTTTATTTTGGATGCGATTAATCGTTTGACAGCACTAATTTCTATACATTATATTACTGATTTTAGTTCTTCAACTTAAACATATTTCAGTAAGTTGTGAAGGCAACATTTTTCATTTTAATTTGCTTAAATTTCATTTTATTTTATGTGTCTTAGTTTTCTCCTTAGCTTTTTTTTGTTTTAGTTTTAGAAATGTTAGTACTTCAACTTTGCTGAACTTATTTCAGTTTCTAACTTTCATGCGTTTTTAAATTTAAGTTTTACATCTAATATTTATTTTTATTATTATCTTTAATTTCATTTAAGCTTCATTTCAGTTACCAAAAACGAACCAAATAGTTATAGTATTAGTTTGAAGTTAACAATAGCAGCACAGCAGGAGATTCAAATCACTATTGATTTCAGTACAGTTTACCATTGACATGTTGATAAGCTATTAATGCAATAATCTAATAAGCATAAAATGCATAGTGCACACAGATACTGCAGTGTTCAGTTATTAATTAGATACTTTACCATATTTTTTATTTTTTTGTATTGAATCAATTATAAGTGTAGTTTTAATATACATTTTTCTGTACCATTTGAGCATGTGTGCATGTCACAATGCATTATGCATTTTTGTTATTGTAGTTTTCCTCTGAAAATGCCGGGGGGGGATTATTTTTAGAGCAGCAGTTTTTGTGTTGCTGACTGATATGATTCTGACTTTTAAACTCGCATCCATGTGATAGTTGTAGTTCTTATGTCACAACTTATGTTTTTAAAGGGCTTAAGAGATCATGTTTGACGTGTGTAATTTATGTTATAGAACAAAACATGAAAGTCTGTTATCCGCTAATCTATCCTGTAGCCAATTAGTCTTCCGGCTTGGCCTACAAATTGACGTCAACAGCTCTATATGCTCAGAAATGGTTGCAAACAATAATTCTGACTTCTATCTCAGTTTGCAAGAACAAAATTAATAATAATAAAAAAAAAAACAGATTGGCTCTTAATGTAACTGTGTGGAGTGCAAGCTTCAGCACTGGAAGAGGCAGAGAGATGGACGTCTGGAGGGATCTGTGGTCTGTCAATCACTGCTGATGTCTGTCTGCTGGCAGGATATTTAGCACGGCTCCTGTGCTTTTGTTAAAGGGTTTAGGGCCGTCAGCGAACACATGACGCCTGTTATAGACCAGACTCGCTGTCGCCATGGTAACAGGTTTATGGTCCTGATGAGAGCTGTGAGCGATTTCAGCTTTCCTCTGATGTAACTCCTCAGTCCACAATATCAGAAGATGTATTCCAGAGCCTTTCTGCAGCTCCAGACATGCATATATTCATGCTCTCGCAGCTTAAATGTAGGACATCTCATGCTGACTTTCAGAGGAAGAAAATGCCCGACTCTGACATCTCACTTGAAAATGTGCAATAAGTTACAAACTTACACACTTTTTGAGCACCTTTTAATGCATCATAAGCCAAATCTGGTGACGAAATGTCCTGGAAATATTTTATAATAAGAATCTAAGGGGAAAAGGAAGGAATTTGGTTTCCATAAATAAAATTAGGTTTATTTTTAGCTCCATTAAGTTTTTCTACATTATTATATTGTCTTCATGACTATTAAGCACATTTTCTGCCAATTTCTTATTGCCAAAATATAAAGAAAATCACCCTGCCTAATGCCTTTTTTTTTTTTTTTTTACAATTATTTGTACAAAATAATAGATTATTACAAATACTAATACTACAGACAGACAGACGGATAGATAGATTAGCTTTCATTTTATTTAAGTTTTGGTCATTTTAGTATTTCAAAAATTACAAATATTGTTTTTGCAAATAAATATTTTTTTTTTTATTAAAAAAATTATCAAAATATAATATTTAAAAAAAATTATTTAATGTGTGTATTTAATAATATTTTATTATTTTTATTAGTATTATTATTATTGTTGTTGCTTTATAGAAGTAAGAATATTTTTCACACTACAGTGGGAAATACTGAAAAAATGGGATTAATTGCATTTTAAATGTCACGTATCATGCAAACAATGTCACAATGCTATATATGTGTGTGTGTGTGTGTATATATATATTTTTTTACATTTTTTTTACTCTGTAATTAAATGTGTAAAGGTCAGTCAGAATGCTGTTGATTTCTGTGTTATTGCGCAGATGAATGAGGGCTATTAACAGGTGTGTGTTGGTCTTTTCTATTGGCAGAATGTTGGCAAGCGAATGTCCTGCACTCAGTTCATCGGGAATCTGGAAGGACTAAACAGCGGCCATGATTTTCCTAAAGAACTCCTTAAGGTACTGAATATTTCATAAATATTCCTTATTAAAGCTGCATAGTGAAACTGTATTGTTTGCATTATTATTGATTGTAAATTGTCCACAGAGAAGATCTGCATGTCAATAGACCGCCTTTTTGTAGATGATTTGAGATGTTCAGCAGGTGTGTGTGTGAGTGTGTTGGCACGGGTTGTGTGGTCATGTGACAGCTGTGCTATTATAGCGTTCAGCGCTGCTGTGTGTGATTTGAAGCAGGAGAGATCTGTGTCCCGGTGGGAAGCGATGACTCTTTAGTAGGTCATTTATTGGTTTATATTATTAGATTAGTGCTGTAATGTCATTGGTAGGAAACGGGGGATGTTTTGCTTCCATTCATTAACCCTGCAGGCACATTCTCAACTAATCAGATGAGTTCTTGAGTTATTTCCTTTAACCAGGAAATTAACGTTCTTAGAATTGACAAGACGGTTGACCCTGAGTGGTCAGCTAAATATCTACAGTGGATCTAAAATATGAATAGTTAATTATAACTAGTTATGGTTAATTATTCATATTTCCCCATGAGCTGATTCGCTACAATACTAATGAGCTAAACGAGGTTTAGATTGGTTTTAGGGCCGAGAGCGGCTGCGCCATGTGTGTTATCTGGCAGGAGATGTTTTCAAGCTGCTGCAGGACTTGAACAATATTCACTATTTTTTAAATAGAAAAACAAACAAACCGGAGTAAGAATATTTTTGCATTAGTGGGCTACTGGAAAGGGGATTTTAGATGTGCGTAAGTGTCATGAAAATAAGCTCATCATGCAAAAATTAAAACTGTATTAAAGAAGTTAGATATTATATTTTATGTATAATTTATTTGATTTTATTGTTTTTCAGTAGTATTACAGTAGGAAAAATTGTTAATTTTAAAAAGAAAAATGTACAAAAATCTAATTAAAATCCTAATGTATATTTACAATTTGTAAATTTTAAATGGACAATTATGATTTTAATTTATGGTTTTAATTTATTTTTTTTTAAGTTATTTTGAGGGGACAGCAAATTTACACTGTTATACAAACTGTACACTCACTACTTTACAGTGTAGCAAAGTGTAATTTCTTCAGTGTTGTCACATGAAAAGATATAATAAAATATTTACAAAAATGTGAGGGGTGTACTATATATATATATATATATGAGTATATGTGTGTGTAGTTTTAACACTTCTGGGTTTATTTTTCACATAGGAAGTGGAAAGTCAGGTTGAAAGCATTGCATTTTGCACATTCCATGCAGAAAATGTTTATGCACATTATATGTACTATACTACAGTCATAGACATATAATTATGATAGTATGCTATTCTGAATGTAGCACATCATGGGTTTGCTGTTGGTTCAGTCTGCTTTGCACTGACCCGTCCTTCAATAGTGGCCTCTTTGCAAAGCCGCATCACATTGTGACTGGAAAATGGCAGAGCAAATCCTGTTTTCCCGTGGCATGAATCCTTTGAAATCTCTGTGCTCTGTTAAAGGCACAGCAGTGAGCTTTATCTGAGGAGCTGCTTGTGTTTCAGTCCTTCATCTTGTTGATGAAAACACTGACTCTCACTGGGACAGAAAGCGTCTGAAGAGCGATAAACCAAGCAAGGGAGAGCCGATGGAGATCGGTCTGTGTTCTTGCTGTTCATGCCAAGTGTTTTACATCAGTCTCTATAGCTTTTATGACGACCTCTCTTTCTTTTCTTTCCCTCCGGCGATCCTTTTCTCTGTCCCTCGCAACATCAGTTCTCACACTCTTGCCGCCTACTCGTTCTGCTTCTCTCATTTAAACTCAACAGCTGAGCAGGGCAGCTTACATAAGCACATTTCACTGGCACATTGTCATATAAAGCAAAGCTGTTATTGTGGGGTGCTAATTATTGGACGAACAGGGTTAAAATCTGATTGAATGAGCTACTTTCAAAGACAATTTACACAAACACCAGTGAGGCACAGCAGGAGAATTATATATGGATGCGGCATATTGCTAAACGCTATTGAAACCGTAAATAGCCTGCAGTTTGTACTTAATCATGGTACCTTGTTGATTGATTGATTGATTGATTGATTGATTAACTTATAAAGCCACAGTAAGTATAAATAAGTCAATAAATACAAAATAAATAAATTAATATTAAATTAAATATAAATAAATATTAAAAATTAAAAATAAATATTGAAAAATAATATACTATTTTTAATCATTTAAAAATAATAAATTAATTTAAAAATAAAAATGTAATTCTAAAGCATGGGTTCTTGTGGCTTGCTTGCTTGCTTTATTTATTTATTTATTTATTTATTTATTTATTTATTTATTTATTTATTTATTTATTTATTTATTTATTTATTTAAAAAAAACTTTTGAAATGTTTTACTTTACATGTAATTAATCTAGAATGTGAAAGTTTCACTTTTTGAAACGTTACAAAAAAAAGAACTTTTTCACGATATTCGAATTTTTTGAGATGCACTTGTGTACATAGAAAAAGTCTCAGATCTTTGAGTTCAGCTCATGAACAATGGGGCAAAAACAAAAGTGTTGCATTTATAATTGTTCATTGTATGTATATATATACAAATATGCATAAATGTTATATTATAATTGTTATAATAAAAAATAATAATTTAATATTATATTAATTTATATATAACTTCATTATTCATTCTCTCGCTCTGCACATACAGTGCCGTGAAAATTTCTCAATTTGTGGATAATGGCTCTGACCGAGGTTCGCTGGAGTCACAAAGCCTTAGAAATGGCTTTATAATCCTTTCCTGGATTTTTTTTCTCATTTTGTCTCTCATAGTTGAGGTATACCTATGATGAAAATTACAGGCCTCTCTCATCTTTTTAAGTGGGAGAACTTGCACAATTGGTGGCTGACTAAATACTTTTTTTCCCCACTGTATATATATAGAGGGAGAGTTTTCTTTATTTATAATATGGTTTAAATTATGCTTTATAATATTATATCACTTTGTAAATAATTTATAAGATTAATTTTGTGTTTTTATTTTATTTAGAGGCTCGTATTTGTTTATTCATAAAATAACTTATAATATTTCTATTGTTTAATAAATAATTTTGTATTAGTTCCTATTATATTTCGTGTGGGAATGTTTTTTATGTATTTATTTAGACTGTAATGTAAACACCAGCATCTGAAGGCTAAAGCAAGCAATGTATTGTGCACATGCATTTATTCAGACAAAATTGTTTCACGTGTTTACATTGTCACATCTGTAATATGAAAAAAAAAGGTCAAATGCAAAGATTTTCTGTGTGTGCCCCGCAGGAGGCATTTCTTTAGTGCAGCGGTGAAAGACGGTGGATTTGTGCCTGTCTCTCACACGTGGGTTGCTTGTGGGCTTTTGCACACGCTAGTGAGGAGTGCTTGAAGTGCATCGTCGTCATGGAGATGGAGGGGCGGGGCTGTGGCACTGATAGAGTGGTCACGGGCTGACGGCGACCCATTTTACTGAGGAGATAACGACAAACGGGGGGAACAATTATCTCTGTCCTGCTGAGCAAACTCCCTCAACTCAGTCCAGACGAGACGGCCGTGCAGGTGACGTCCATTCAGTCCCTGCACTGCATGCCATGCTGTTCTAGATAGACAGATATATTGTCCAGGCCAATAAATTGCATGGAGCCGGTCAGCAATAATCATGCTTTTTTTGTGTTTTCAAATTTGTTGAAAAGATGATGTTTGAGTAAAGATGTGCAAGAAAATTATAATTTAAGCTGAATTTAAATTTCATTAAAACAATTAAAGCAAAGGGAAACAAACTAGATTCATATAATTTTTCAGTTCAACTTTAGTAATGCTAAAATTTTAGTCTTTGATATGAAATATTTTAGTAATATTTTAGGATATTATAACTATAAAAATGCAGATCACTTTTGCCCAAAATATATTTTCGAATATGTTACAGTATGATGAATAATAAATGAGCCATATTTAAATGCATCTGCAGTGCAAGTGTATGTGAATGTTAATCAGCATTCAAAGCGAAGCAAGCCGTGTGTGTGTGTTTGAGGGAGCTGGATCGCTGTGATTGGCTGAAACCTGAAAGAGAGAGAGAGAGAGCGAACGAGCGAGCTTGCTGCCTCCTCCGAGTCTCTCTGAGATTTAGAGACTTTCCATCTGCAGAGCCTGAATGACGACGAGAGGAAGTGGACATTTTCTGATCGTCCACGGACACGTATCTGTGACTCAGTTTGGAGGAGACCGCATCCACACGCACTTCCCAAAAAATCCATCAGACCTATCATGGATCCCAGATGGATTGATGGATAAACAGATGCAAAGGGAGTGATGCACATCTTCTGAAAGCGCTTGGTCCTTCCAAGAAAGAAAAAAGAAAACCAGCTGAAGCTCAGAAGCAACAGGCTCCCATCCGCCTTCATCTCGGATTGTTTTGCATTGCGTGCTGAGTTTGTCTCATCGTTTGGGCCGGTGCAGGTGTGGGGATTCCTGTGTGCCGCACTGTTTGTGTCTTTTGTGAGGGCGTTGTGTGTGTTTCATGTTTTCTCCCGGTTTCCGTTTGCCTCATTCCATCTGTCGGATCCCGGCTGTTCTTTCACACTTCTGAAAGCTTTACTTGCCATCTGTGGCATCACTGTGTGTGTGTGTGTGTGTGTGTGTTTGGCCGCTAGCTGGTTGCAATGTTTAGCTTGTAGAAGTTGGTGTTTGTTATCGACTGTTACATGTGTTCAGAGTACGCAAGGGAAATATCGTACATTTCAGGATCACTGTCCTTTTTATTTTGCTCTGAATTACTTGATTCTCCAGTTCGAGCATCTCACAAACGTAATGTGTAATGTATTGTGATATTGTCAAACAGATGGTTACAGACACCCTGTTGCGTTCCTGAATATTTTTCATATTGCTTTCATGTTTAAGATTAGAAATTAAGATGATGGTCTCAAGCCAAATATAGTGATCGCAAAGAGACCGCAAATCTGTCCTGGACTTACAAACCTGATTCAAAAAATGACCTGTAACACTTATTTTTCTCATCAGTCTATCTAAACACTTGGATTTTCCTTCATTTTTAAGCCGGATTTTCTTGCTTTTTTGTCTTTGGAGTTACCTCATCTGTTAACAGAGGAAGCCATATTGGGTTTTTTCATGTGTTTCTTGTATTGAAGATTCACATTTATGCATTTGGCAGATTCTTAACCCAAAGTGATTCTCTAAAATCAGTTCTTGAACCCGTGACCTACAGGAAGGCTCTTAAGCTTTTTTTTAGTTGAACATTTGCTGCTAAACATTGGCGTGAACTCATTTGAAGATCCAAACCCCAACTGGAGTTGATTATTTCCCATAGTGCACCACAGCTTCGAACATGATTGGAGTGAACAGTCTGCACTCTGCCGGGCGCTTTCGCTCCCGCTCGCTCTGCTCTGTTCGATACGGGCGAGATTTCCGTATGATGGACCCGTTCCGTTACCCGCGAACACCCAGATCCCGATCGCTCAAACCTCTGGCGTTTCCGGACCTCCTGGGAAAATCTCAAGATGGACAGAACCACCCGCAGGCCCGCAAGAGGAAGAGGGTAACCTTGTCTCGTGTCACTTACCTGTCCATCACTCACCCGGTCATCTGTACTTGTCTGCTGCCCAAAAAGGCCAAAAAGTTACATAGATGCACCAGGCAGCCACTTTTGATCAGATACAGTTCTGATTTTGTCTTTTTAAACACCATGCACTCTTAAACATAAATGCGTTTTATTGGTATTAATGGTTCCATAGAACCTTTCCATTGTTCAAAAGGTTCTTTATAGTGGAAAAATATTCTACAGAGTTTTTAACTGGTAGTTTTTAATGGTTCTTCTATGACACTGCTGCAGAATCCCCCTGTTGCAATGCTTATTTTTAAGAGTGAATCAAACTGTAGTGTACTTTTAGGAGTGCAGTAGCTTATAGATTGCCTCAAAGCTAATAGACATGAACTAAAAGAAATCTCTAGCTGAATTGCTATTGTTTGAAATGAGCATTGGTGGGGAGATGCTGTTTGTTTTGCCCTGAGGGACTGAGAGGGTAAATTTGCTCTCTGTTGCTGCTGAATTTCTAGTACACACTGAGATTATTAGCTGTTCATGCTGAGGTTTCTTTTTTTCTAGATGTGTGGAGGGAATAATATGCTTATTAAAGTCCTTCTCTCATGCATATTTAGCTTGGCATCTGAATTAGGACTTCTATGGCTTGTATATACTGTACATCTTATGATGACCTCTAAGCCAAATCATACAGCTATGCTTTATAGAAAAATAAAAAAAAACATTTAATTTATGAATCATTTTTATCTTTGAGGTTTTGTCCAATATAGGCACAGTCTTTGACTCTGTCAGGGAATCTGTGTAGATAATTAAATTGCAAACACAGGATTCCACTGTGACGCAGGTGTTTGATGACTGACGTCTGCACAGACTCGTCACTTACACCGATGATGTGTCAATTAAGTGCTAATGATCTGAGGAGACTAACAGCCATCTGTGATTTGGTCTTTTATTAAAAGATAATTAAATTTTTTTTATTTGAATTAATGTTTTTATTTTTAATTTGTTTTTGTTTATTTAAAATGTTCTTATATTTATAAAAAAAAAATCATAATTTTTTTAATATATTTCTATATTATGATTATATATTTTTTAATGATTTAGCTTTTCTTCATTATGTACTGCCATTTAGAAACAAGTACAAAAACCGAACAAGCTTAAACACTTATCTCTTATGTAAATGTATGGTTTGAAAAGGTTTGGATTATTGGTTGTGGAGTTAAATTGATGCTTCACTGATTGTTAGGTGTTGATGTCCAGAATGGCATTTATTTGTGTAGACGGTGTGGCTATAACTGAATCAGATCTTTATTTTGAGGTGTGTCATCTGTCACAGTCTGATTATGATGCTACTTACAGCAGAATATATATATGATGCAACTCATACGCCAGTCTGTGAAACCAAACACAGTCATTTACAGCTCAGGTGTGACTCACTCACTCACTCACTCACTCTCTCGCTCTCTCTCTCTCTCTCTCTCTCAGGCCCTGTACAACTCTATTAAAAATGAAAAGCTGCAGTGGACAATGTAAGTGTTTTCTTCCTGTTTAATGACGTTTAATGACTGTAAGGTTTTACAGTAGATGAAATGTGCTACTACCAAACTACCCACATAGAAACACGAGTCAACTCATTTTATCATTCTGATCGCCCCTAAAGAACACATTGCCATGGTAACCATAGTTTCCTCCAGGATAGCTACTACAGTTACTGTCACTATTGGAAAATCTCCAAATTAAGCATTAGCGTTAGTTCTGGCAGGTCACGTGAGTCAAGCTTGCATCAGCTGATTCTCAGCTGATCACATCTACCTATAGGAATACGACACCTATCGCGGCATTCCTATATAAGCTCTATTCAGTATTATTCAGCAGCTTTTCAGCTTGCTCAGGAGCAAATTAACCTCCTCCATCCCCAGCTCCTCCTTTCGCCACAGTGAGGACTTGGCTTTCTGATATTCTTTGCTAATCAGACTCCTTTATCTTGAATAAAGTGTTACACTTAAATATCATTAAGTACATTAATGATATCTGCCTTGTTCTGTTCTGTTAACCCTGGGGGGGTATTATTGCTGCTCTCCCTGCTCATTCATGACAGGCTGCATGGATGGGCAGAACAGAACCATACCGCCAAACCAAACTTTATGCCAATAATCTATCATTTTGACGATAGTGGTCCTGACAGAACTATATATTTCTGATAGTTTGAGTGAGTAATTAATTGCTCATGCAAAAGTTGCTAAGAGTTGTTTTTAGCATGTTGCAATTAAAAAAATATTAAATTTAAGGTTTATGTATTTGAATTACATAAAACATTTCCACACAGTATTACCTTGAACAGACTAATACATTTAATGGGATGCATATTTGTAATAAATCTGTTAATGTGAAAATAATTAAGCAATGTTAATTAAATATTAATATTAATCAATATTACTTAAATTAAAATTTATGAGGTGAGAGACCAATTGAATATATCAATGATAGATATATGGACCTTGTTATTATTCATTTAAAACACATTTGGTTTATTTGTACTGTTACAGAATTCTGAACTGTTTTGTTATATGACTGACAAATATGCTTCACATTGAGTTTAATTATTTGTTTGTTAAAATTGTGTAATCCAAAATGTTGGAAATGTTACTGTATATGCATATCAAATATACAATATTTGTGATACTGTTATAATTCTAATTTTTATTATTATTTAACTTTTTTTTTCATTTTAATTTTAGTTAATGTTTTAGGAATTGTGCTGTTTTTTTCTCTAATGCATCTAATGCATCTTTTTTTTATTTTTCATTTTTTATTTTAGTTTTACTTTACTTTTACTTTACTTATTTTAGTACATCAGGTTAAACTAAATGAAAAATGAGATGCACTGCCTTGGAATGAAATGTGAAATAAAAAGTTTTATATATTTTATTTAACTTAAAGTTCATTTTAAAGTTTATTATTATTATTATAATTTTTTTAAGTTACGTGCAATATTTAAATCTTAAATTTAGGCCTAAATATTTTTATTGGGTATATGTGTTTGTCCAAGTCTCTATGCTTTTGTAGTGTCTAGATATTCAGTGTCTATCAGACATTTTGCTCATTTTATCATCTAGCAGGACGAAATTGCATGTTCAGTCACTTGGAAAGTAATTTCTTTGTTTAATAGCGATGCTTTATAACTGTAATAATAATGAAATGACTGCCATGGTAAATTTTCACAAGGATGAAAGATACGAGTGATATCATAGGAGGAAATGCCATAAATAGTGAAAAGAAAGCAGGTTTTAGTGTTTGAGGCGTTGGATCCGTGTGTTGTTTTGCTAGAAACAATAGTGTGCGAGTGCTGCCTATTCTCTCTCTATATTCACACACACACACCAATTAAAGACCCTGGCTTTCTGAGCGCCGTTGCTATGGTTACGGCTCAATGGATACCGCTGCATAGTTACGGCTCGACTGCGTTTCATCTATATGTATTCACCCCCTCTCTCTCTCTCTCACAGAGCCCTAACCTCGTTCTCATGTTCAACACTCATTCGTGCACCCACACATACCACAGCGCTCTTTAAAGTGTCCCGCTCGCATCCTGAGCAAAGGTGAACCCACAGACTCCTACTGTAGCTCCCGAAATAGCCTCATCTGTCCCTCCCTGAGCTCATGGACAAGAGCGCAGCTGAGAAACGCCGGCCCGTCCGTATCAAGCTGCTCAAACATAGAGATGGGATCTTGATTTTATGCTACAGTTGCAATATTAGGATGTGAATTCTGCTGATTTTAATGAGCCACCAAGGTAGCGTTGTCTAGCCAGCTGACGTACGTAGAAGAGGTTTTTGTAAAAATTATGGGAATGACTTGTATGCGTTTGATAGGAGTTCAAAAAGACAAACAGATCTGTATGTTTTGCATCGGATGGCTTCGTTGTCTACCAAAAAGTGTTTTTGATTGTATAGCTGGTATACTTCATTTTCAATTGGTCAATCATGAGTTTGAGCAGTAAAATATTTTTATATAATATGTTAAACTTAAGATTTTTCATATAAGTGCAGGTTAATTCAACCTACCGTAGTAAAAAGTCATTTTGATCACATATGCATGACCGTTCAGAAGTTTGGGGTTGGTAAGATTTAATGTTTTTGAAAGAGGTCTCTTCTGCTCACCAAGGCTGCATTTGATTAAAAATACAGTAAAAATTTGAAATATTATTACAATTTAAAAACGCTGTTTACTGTTTGAATATAATCTAAAATAGAATTTATTTCTGTGATTAAAGCTGAATTTTCAGCATCATTACTCCAGTCTTCGGTGTCACATGATCTTCAGAAACCATTCTAATATGCGGATGTAGTTGTGCTGCTTCATATTATTTTTATTTATTCTTTTTTTTTTTTGTGGAAACTGATACATTTTATTTTTCAAGATTCTTTGATGAATAGAACATTCAAAAGAACAGCATTTATTTGAAGTAGAAGTCTTTTGTATTTTTTTTTATGTTTTACTGTCACTTTTGATGCATTCTTTATGAACTAAATATTAATTACAAACAAACTTTTGAACAGTAGTGCTCATAATTTCCAGATATTATTGTAATTTGCTTTTATTACACACAGTACATCATACTTTATGTATGTATGCATTTTATAATGATACATTAAGCATTTTATAAACATTAACATTTTATTCATGAAAGAATCCAGAAAAAAGTATCACAGTTTCCAAAAAAATATGAAGCAGCACAACTAAATCAGCATATTAGAATGATTTCTGAAGGATCATGTGACACTGAAGACTGGAGTAATGATGCTGAAAATTCAGCTTTGTTTTGCTTTTTGTAACAACATCTTGGTTCAATGAAAAATATTAGAAAAGGCTTCCACATATAAAACATTAAATACTTCTTTTTTTTTTTTTTTTTAAATGTTGGCAGGGCGAGTAAAAATCTGCCTTACTGGCCTGAATAAACCGTGCTGTTCATCAGCCAGGAGTGTTAATGAACCGCTATTACCCACACAACAATCTCATGCACTGTATTCATCACAATGTCACATAATGATCAATAATCAAGTCGTTTTATCACGTCTGAGAGGGAGAGAGAAAACGAAGCGAGACTGGGACAGAGAGACCGATTCTAGAGGAAAGGAAAGAGCTGTATTGATGGAGGTGCAGGAATTGAGCTGTTTACAGTCAGTAAAGAAACAAACATGGAAGAAAAGACAGTAGACCCATGCAGCATGTTCAGATCCGCTGCTCTCTGCTGCTGGGCTCACTTACTGTAAGAATACAAAGATGCAACGCTGAAAAACAGAGAGATGGACATTTGCATTGTGAGAGGATGAGAGGATGAGAGTTAGTGTGTTAGAGAGCGGTGTGTGTGTGTGTGTGTGTGTGTGTGTGTGTGTGTGTGTGTGTGTGTGAGAACATACATATGATCAGATGATCAGTCTATACATGAGAATCGTTCTGTCCTCAACAGGCGCTGCTGTTTTCCCAGCATGCCGCTCTCTGAATCGAATCATTCTGCCCTTTCCTGATTACATGCTTCACCCTGCTGTCTGTTCCCTTCATCTGCTTCAACTCTGTTTCTGTCTTCTAGAGCTGGACGATAAATCGAGTATTGAATATATTTGACTATTACGTGTCATGTATAATGTTTTGTCATTTTTATTCATTTTTAATTTGTGACATTGAGAATGTTGCAACAGAGATCTTTTACATTTACATTTAGTCACTTAGCAGATGCTTTTATCCAAACGACTTACAAATGAGGATAATAGAAGCAATCAAAACCAAGAAAAGAGCAAGTCTCTGTATACATACTAACACAGTATACATTAGTTTTTTTTTTATAACAAATAAAAAGAAAACAAGTAGATAGAATAGAAAAATTATAGGGAACACTATAGTGTTAGAGGGTCATTTTTTTAAATAAAAATAAAACAAGTCAGAAAAAGAACAGAGTGGTGTTAGAGGTAATTTTGTATAATAAATAAAAACAAAATAAGTAGATAGAATAGAGAATGCTAGTGTTCGAGGAATAACAGATCTCTTTAGAACATTGCATCGGTTCTAACTGTCTGTTACAATAATTCTATTCAAATTTTTAAAGATTTGTTTACGACACTTTTAGAACTGTTCATGAAGACTTTGTGACATTTTTCAAATGTTACAATATAATTGTTCGAGACTAGTGTTACAATTAGTGTTCCTGTTACAATTTTAAAATGGTAGAATATTAAGTTGTAAGTAAGTAACCTGTTGATACTCAGTATACTCGTCCTTGATCTTGATGTCACTTTAACATTTGTAGCTTTGTTTACTCTAGTATTCAAAAGTTTGGGGCCTGCAAGATTTCTTAAATGAATTTTCTCTCATTAATGTTGCATTTCTTTGATCAAAAATAAATACCTTGGTACCTTGTTTTTTTTATGCAGGACTGTTTGAATATAAAGTTCAAAAGAACAGCATTTCGTTGAAACAGAATTTTTTTAGAGCATTTAAAATGCCTTTATTGCCATGTTTGATCAATTTAATGCATCTTTGATGAATAAAAGTATTAATTTCTTAAAAAAAAAAAAAAACACTACCGACCCCAAACTATCAAAAGGAAGTGTACATTTAAATAAATATAATAAAATAAATTGCTATAAATTCAAATGTGATCCCCCTTATACTGTTTCTGATGGAAATAAATATTATTCTTCGTACCAGTTATTACTAAATTGTATTTGTACTCTGTTTTACTCTGTGAATTGAACATTTTGACTCTAATTGGGATAGGCATATTTGTTTGAAATAATTAAATCAATAAGTAAACAAAAGCATAAATTATCCAGATTTGATATGCTGTAATATCACTCATCCCTGTCATCCAGCACTGTTTTTCTGTCCGGTGTTGTGTGTGATGTGATGTGAGGTGCTGATCTGATCTGATCTGGAGTCAGTCGTGTGATTCGTGTCGTTAGTCTCTCTGTGTGACCATCGGCAAGACCATCAGTCCTGCTGTAATGGCTCTGGCTAAATTTATTCTTAAGGTTGTGTTTTCATTGCTCTCTCACTCGCTCGCTCGCGCTCTCTCTCTCTCTCTCTCCCTCTCTCTCTCTCTCTCTCTCTCCCTCTCTCCCTCTCTCCCTCTCTCCCTCCCTCTCTCTCTCTCTCTCTCTCTCTCGTGCCGGCAGTTACCAGGCAACAGGCTTTAAGTTTTACGCATATGCTCAGTGTGAGAGTGATTGAGCGATGTTTTCCACCCATTTTAGAGCAGCACACACATAATCAGGCGATCTTGTCATCGGAATGCTGTTTATGAACGCAGTGTTGTCATGTGATCATTTAATGATAATATCAGAAATTGGATCAAGAAGGCCATTCAGACATCTGAGAGATTCAGAATTGGAATAGATTAAGACATTAAATAACTGTCTTTATATAAGAAAAAAAGATTAGTTTTTACTCACAAAGTAAATGTGAATGGTGTTTGCACGGGCAAAATATCACCACCATAATACTAATATACCATTATAGTATTGAGGTTTTATTTTCTGTTTTTGTTTTAGTTAAAGGTAAATAATTTGTGATTTTTGTCATTTTTATTATTTAAAAACTTGTTTTTTTATGTCTATATAGTTTTGAATTATTTTTATTTCAGTTTTAGTGTTATTTTGGTACTTTAACTTTAAAATGAAAATGAGAAATGTTTTATAGCTGCCACTTCTGAAAACCAGAAAATGTTTACATCAGTCCTGAAATAGTTAAACTGATGCGCAGTTCACTTACTGTCTGTTTGCATTTATTTGTTTAGTTTTTTTTTTTTTTTTTTTACAAATAATCACTTTGTACCTGAAAGAACTAAAGCAAAATTACTAAAAACATCTAATTCTTTGGAATACGAATAATTACTAATTAAAATTATTTACGCTTACACTTTATTTCGATAGTCCACTTTAGACATTCTACTAACTATAAGTAACGTTGTAACTACATGTCAACTAATTCTCATTAATTTGCAACTACATGTCTACTAACTCTCAGAGTAGACTGTTAGGGTAGGTTTAGGGTTAGAAGAATGTTGACAAAGAAAGTGTTAGAAGATATTAAGCAGACAGTCTACTAATACTCTACTAACTGCTAGTTGACATGTAGTTGCAAAGTTACTTACTGTTAATAGAATGTCGAAAGTGGACTATCGAAATAGTGTTACCTTATTTACATTTCTGAAATTGAATTTATTTTATTTTTGTTTTTTTACTTTTATTTTACATATACTTTTATTTAAGTAAATTTTTATGAAGTAAAAAAAAAAGATAGTTGAATTTGAAAAGGTTAAACTAGCATTATTTCTAACTTTTATTTTGTGTGTTTTGTAGCGACATGGTTTTGAGGAAGAAATTGTATTTTTGTGTGAATGTTGGCTGGAAAGCTGCTGGTTTGTGGAGGTGATCTGAAGGTTTTGGGCTCTATCTCTGCAGGGACTCGGCGAGCGTCTCTCTCCCCTGAGAAACATCACGCGGACGGGACGGCAGTGTGATGTGTGTCCTTTCTCTGAGAAACACACCATTAAAGGGGTCTCTTCAGCGACCTCAGACAATCGATGTGTGTGTTCAGGAGAAATATTACACCTCTGAGTGTACAGAATGTGGCGAGAGATCTCATAAAAGACAGGAACATTCACACATCCACACTCCTGATTCAAAGCGCCCGTACAAGACACTTTCTGAGTACATTAGTGCCAAGGTGATTATAGTTAACTAAAATTAAAACCATAAAAATGACTTGAAATAAAAGAAACTTTAACTGATATAAAATAAAATTCAGCTTGTTGCCAAGGCAACATTTCTCATTTTCATTTAGTTTAACTTAATGTCCTAAAATAACTAAAACTGAAAAAAAACTGACAAAATGATAAAACAAGCAAAAAAAAAAACTACAACTTTAAATAAATTAAAATGAACAATAAAAAAATATAATAGTATCTTAATAATACTAAAATAACACTGATTAAACAACAAATAAAACAATACTTTTATTTTTATTTTTTTTTTTTTTTAAATATGCCTATAGTGTTTTAAAATTATTTTTAATTTAAATTTTAGTCAAAATGCATCATTTTTAATAAAAGCTACAATTTTTATCATTTTTAATGATGCTAATTTTCATTTGTCAAATAAAATTTATTTTAGGTCAATTCATTTTTATTTCAAGCAACAAAAGTGTTTTAATTTTAGTACCAATGAACTATAATCACCCTGCTTTTAAATGTATTAGAAATGTTAGTCAAGGTTTCTTGCACTAAAAGCATTTTTATTATTAAATTTCCCCCTATTTTTGCAACTGTTTTTTAAGACTTCTAGATATAAATGGCCTGTATTGATTTGGCTCATTCATCATGAAGCATACTAAATATGCCTTGATTTGCTTCCATAATTTCCAAATGAAAAGGGATGTTTAACCAAAAAGTAGGTGGAACCTAATTTTCCATCCATCTGCAATTGACTTGAATGTGCTCATGGTTGGTGAAAGTGACGTTCAAGCAAGCCTAAATAGTACATCGAACACTTCAGTTTCCAAAAATACAAGGAGAATTTGATTTTTCACGGTATGACGGCTTTGAAACACATCCATTTAACCTGCGGTCGTCTCGCAGTGGCATGCCATAATAGTTTGGCCTGTGCGATCGAGTCTTTGATTTGATTTCTGCGGTGGCAGATGTGAGAGAGAAACCAGCTGGAAGAGCACTTTACTTCAACACGCACTCGATCGATAGTGTCTGCCGCACTCGGGGGGTTATGATCAGCGGGAGTGAAGACTGTCGGGAAAAGACTTTTATTCACTCTAGGTGGGACATGCAGCGAGACAGGCCCCAAATATCACAGCGAGCCCGATACGAGGCTCTGAATCCTAACTCCTGTAGTCTTTAAACTCGCTGGATTTCTCCACACACTGACTGCAGCATAAAGAACACTAGATGTGCATTTCCAAACGGCAATAGCAATGCTTTCTAAGCAGTGTAAGATGCAGTTTTTGGTCAAAATATCTAGAAAAGGAAAAGTAAAGCCAATGAATTGTTTCAATATTCTCATCAAGCTACATGATTTGAGAAGCCATTCATGTCTATAATGCCAACAGTACAGGATGAATTATGCAATTACGTGTTTAATATTTAGTGTTAGTTATTGGAAGAGACCCGTAACACTGTGTACTAAAATAAGTAAAACTAAAACGGAAATAAAAATGATAAAAACGGACAAAAACCTACAACTTTAAAATTAAAATTAATAAAACTAAATGAAAATATAAAAAACTATAACTATATATACTATCTCAATTATACTAAAATAACACTGATTCGTACTCTATTTATTTATTTACATCTAAAGTATTTTAGTATCATTAATAAAGCCTACTATTGTAGTTGTTAAAATTTGAATTATTATTTTTATTATTAATTTAAGTGTGTGTGTATATAATATATAATTTTTGTTTATTTCAGTTTGAATTACAAATTTTAGTTTTTAATAAAAGCTATATTTTGATCATTTTTAATAAGGTTTCTTTTAGTTATAGTAAAATAAAATGTCAATTTAAATATTTTAATTTCAAAAATAATATTTAAAATAATAAAAACTATATTTATTGTATTTCAGCTTAAAGAACACTAGATATAGCAGGGCTTTCAAGGCAGCGTGAGTTATAGCTTTTGCTCAAATTATCTAGAAAAGGAAAAGAAAACCAAAGGAATTGTTTCAGAATTTGCCTTCTCAACAAGTTGCATGATTTGAGGGCTCATGCCTTTTACACCAACAGTACAGAATTAATTATGCAATAGTCTTTAATATTTAGTGTCAATTATTGGAACAGACCCTTAACACTAAGTGTAAGCAATATTATTAGAAACTAAAAAGAAATGTGAAGTAATTCAATATAGTAATACAGCAATATAGTTCCATCCTGCACAGTAAACATTTTTTGAAGTAAATAAAACATTATTGGAATAGGATTTACATTTCACGTTTAATTCTATGTGTTACTTGCGGTTTCTTAGTAAATTTCACAATTAATTCCAAGCAATTTCTCAGTGAAAGTTGTTTGTTCATCAAATTATTTATATTCAGTCTATCATAACATGACAATGATATCGTATCACTGTTTCGAATGCCTCTTTTATGCACTTCTTCTTGGTTAGTAGCTCGTTTTCTGCGTTCTCTCCCCTCAGCGATGAAGAAGAGTTGCGCAAGTCGTTCTCGGAGCTGGGTGAGCAGCGAGGAGAGTCTAACTCCAGAGAAGTGAAGCAGACGGCCTGCGGCTTCCTTACTCCGTCCGGAGCGCTGCTCTACAAAGCCGGTTTTCTGGTGAGGAAGGTCCACGCAGACTGTGACGGGAAGAGAAGTGAGTGTTAAAGAAGACATCCCTCAACACAGCAGTTTGGACTTTTTATTTCCACATATTCATAATCATATATCAAATGTAGAAATTCATATTTAGGACATTAGCAGAACTACTTTTTTTGTCTTTTAAGGAAATGTCATTTACTTCTGATGATATTTTTTTCCCCCCATTTTAGTTTATAATAAACTATGTCAAGTATATCTGACGTTTGGACCCTTGCACATGAAATCTGATTTTGATATGTGTGACCCTGGACCACAAAACCGGTCATAAGGCTCCATTTTTTTTCAAAATGGATATTTATACATCAGCCGGAAGGTGAATAAATAAGCTTTCCATTGATGTATGGTTTGTTAGGATAGGACAATATTTGGTCGAGATACGACTATTTGAAAATCTGGAATCTGAGGGTGCAAAAAAATCTAAATATTGAGAAAATCATCTTTAAAGTTGTTCAAATGAATTCTTAGCCATGCATATTGCTAATCAAAAATTAAGTTTTGATATATTTACGGTAGGAAATTTACAAAATATCTCCAATTTACATGAATATCTCATCCTAATGATTTTTGGCATAAAAGAGAAATGGATCATTTTGAGCCATACAATGTATTGTTGGCTATTGTTACAAATATACCCCAGCGACTTAAAGGTGCAATGTGTAATATTTACATCGATCTATTGACAGAAATGCAATATAATATACATAACTATGTTTTCAGAGGTGTATAAAGACCTTACGTAATGAACCGTTATTACCTTAGATTGAGCAATTTATATCTACATACACCGCGGGTCCCCTTACATGGAAGTCGCCACCATGTTTCTACTGTAGCCCTAAACGGACAAACTGCTACACAGCGCGTTTCCTCACTTTGTTGTTCTTGCGAATAAAACACTGACACAATGATGAACAAGTACATTAATATTCGCAATAACATCGATTTATTAATTAAGTAAATATAATTCCTTAATTTACCTTTGTAAAGAAATCTCATTGCTCTCTGCTGTCTTTACCGACGACATCTTAGTCCTGTATCGGCCACCGTAGCTCCTCTAAAGGGAGGGGTGAGCGGGGGACTTTCACAACCTCACTGCTAGATGCAGCTAAAATTTACACACTGCACCTTTAAGACTGGTTTTGTGCTCCAGGGTCACATATGTTATATATGTTTAGTTTAATGTTGTTGAACAATAGCATACAGTGTCACAAAATGCAAATAATATAATTTACAAAGAGGCGCAGAAAATGTCTACCAATGAAAATGAATTCATTAGTCTAGAGTGATGTATTGATATATTTGATCCATTTCCCTGCATAATAAAAGGCTGTTTGCATTCGTGTCATTTTTCATGTGTAATGCAGCACCTCGTGGAAAAAGAGGATGGAAAACATTTTATGCTGTTCTTAAGGGACTCATCCTTTACCTGCAGAAAGTGAGTCTCTTTCTTTCTTTCTTTCTTCCTTCCTGACTGAGCTACTTTTCATTTGATTTCATTTCTTATTTATTGATTGCAAAATGTCTCGAGGTTTTCAATTACTTCACCATTGATTTATTTGTTTATTGTTGTTCGCTACATTCTCAAGGTGCATTTGATTTTGGTATTTTATGAGGTTTTTCACTGGAAGGCATATTTCAGTCTTTTCATTTTACATGAAACAATACATGTATTGCATGCTGTATTTATGCGTCTATGCTGACATTACATTGTAGGTTTTTTTTCATTCTGTGACATTTAATAATTTAATTATATATTATTTATTTAATCAGATCCCTCTGTGTGTGCGTGTGCGTGTGTGTGTGTGTGTGAGATTGATATGAATTTTATTCTTGAATTTTGTTTCTGTTGACTTCAGAACAAAAACAGCGCTTTTGAGTTTTGACAATATTGTCTTAATATTAGTCTTCAGTCACTATTACGTCAAACTTTTTTAAAAGATATTTTTGTGCCTTTTAAACAAATAATATATTTTTGCCTGTATTTGAAATATACCCAAATGATGTTGTATTATATATATATATATATATATATATATATATATATGCAGTGTATATATAAACAGTTTGATGGTAGTATACTGTATGTAATGAGTAGAATGGCAGTATGATCAATAAATCAGTAATTATGAGAAGGCATGCATGTTTTGAGTAATAACTGGATAATTGTGTTGTCAGGGTGAGTATCAGCCAGATAAACAGTTATCGGATGAGGATTTGAAGAATGCGGTGTCTATTCATCATTCCCTGGCCATCAGAGCCACAGACTACAGCAAACGGCCAAACGTGTTTTACCTCCGGACCGCTGACTGGAGAGTCTACCTCTTTCAGGCCCCGTGAGTTCACACACCGAAAACATGCCACTGTCATCAGAATGTAATATTTAAACTTATTATAGAATGATTTTCCGTTTTCATTTGATGCCATGAAGCTTATTTTTCATGGGCTTCTCTCTGACCTCCTCTCATCTAGAGACATCACAATAAATTCACCATCCAATAAAATCAAGTCTCGTCCTACATTTTATGATGTTCTAGTTGAATATTCTGCTTAATATGGAAATACATTGTGAGATACTATTATTGTTTTTATTAATATTTTTATATTGTGTTTTCATTTTAATTTAGGTTGAAGTTTTAGTCATTTTGTTGTAAGATTTTTATAATTTTTATGTCTACATAGATTTGATTTGTTTATAATTCCATTTATTTTCATTTTAGTTAGTTTTAGTCATTTTGTTGTCTGTTTTTATAATTTTTTCTTTTTATGTCTAAATTTTTTTTTCAGTTCATTTTAATTTTAGTTAGATTTACTTGTGTGTTTTTGTTTTTTTTAATGTCTATATATATATGTATGTGTATATATGTGTATATATATGTGTATATATATATAGACATTAAAAAAAAACTTTTTACAGTTAAAGGTTATTTTATTTCAAGGAGCAAAACCGGTTTTAGTTTTATTTAATTATAATAACCTAATAGCATTGCAAAATTATCTTAGTAGATAAATGAGAATTCATATTGACAAGTCTGTGTCACACAGTTGTGAAAATTGCTTGCTAACCGCATATGCTTCTATACAAAAACAAACAAAAACAAAAATTAAGCTTTAACTGGAAAAAATGACTGCATAAATCATTTGTACAGCATGAGGCTCTCTGTGTGTGTGTGTGTGTGTGTGTGTGTGTGTGTGTGTG